TTGTAAATAGTCCCTTTATCAAATTATTCTCATATTTTGCTACTTAATTGTGCCCTCTGCTACCTAATTCATAATCTGAGTAGCCCCAGGAAATAACCTCCCAAGATAAGAATTGGAATTATTTTTCTCATATCTCTGAGAAAGGCAGGAATAACTCTTATTCCAGGGAAGAATTTAACCAAGGCTATTCATGGCTGCAACAGCATCACTATCACTGAAGCTTACAGGGAAGATAAGACATTGGACCCCCAAGTGGCTGTGGTGCTTAATCACCAAGGTGTGTGGGTCCTTTGGCTTTTTCTGACAGTCCTGGAGACCACAAACAGAAGATAGGGACAGGAATTGAAAGCTGTATTTATCCAGATGAGAACATGAGTAGATGATAAGAAAGCTGTGAAGGCAGGTGGAAGTAGTCCAGATCTGGCTGAGGCCTTGGCCCTTGCCTTGATTATAAGGATTGGTAAGGAAAAAGAACAGGATCCTGAAAGCACAGGCTGTGGGCCTGTGATCAGACTAAGATGTGACTGAGAACTTTGAACCCCCAAGACCCTCCTGAGCTCCCCCTCAGTAATAAACAGGGGATCAGTCTTTCTTAACAACCATTTCACCTCGGTCAGTTGCCTCCCAAGCTGATGTGAATTTGTCTCAAGACGCATCCCCAATAGCTTCCATTTTGGATAGAGAAGTAGAAAGTCCACTTCAAAACAAACTATCTTGTCAATTGAAAATGTGAAATAGAACTCCACCACTCTGTTTAGGGAGCATGTAAGGGATATAAGTCTACTGATATCACACCAGGGAGGATAAAATATAAGGCTTGAACAGGCCAAATTCTTCAGCCAGTGCACTCACCTGAAATTTGAGATTTCATGTGTTGGCTTGAGCTTGGAAGAGGTGTTAATTCTATGCACAACTGGTTAATCCTTGGCATATAGAAAAATGAGTCCTAAGGGGCGCCTGGGTGGCTCAGTCGGTTAAGCGTCCGACTTCAGCTCAGGTCACGATCTCGTGGTCCGTGAGTTCAAGCCCCGCGTCGGGCTCTGGGCTGATGGCTCAGAGCCTGGAGCCTGCTTCCGATTCTGTGTCTCCCTCTCTTTCTGCCCCTTCCCCGTTCATGTTCTGTCTCTCTCTGTCTCAAAAATAAATAAATGTTTAAAAAAAATTAAAAAAAAAAAAGAAAGAAAAATGAGTCCTAAGGCTCAGAGTGATGGTGCATGACATACCCATGCCTACTGAAGCATAACAAGAGCAGGGTGTGGAGGAGGGCATCAGTGTCCTTCAAAACCCCTGGGATAGCTGTTCTCTGAAAACTGTTGATGATAGTAGGGGTCACAATAATAGAATTGAGTCTTCTTTTCCCAGGGGGAATAATGGGATCCCAAGACAGGAGAAACCAGGGTAGTGCTTCATTGTTACAGTCAAAGGTAGGCACAGTTTACGGTAAGCTTCAGAGACCTATACTAAAAAGCAAATTGATCATACATCAAATTACATGGTAATTAATTATATGAGCAGCTTCCCACATAAAAGTGGAAAAAATCCTTAACTCAAGGATCATTAAGAAGGATTAACAACCTCAACCACTTCCCAGACCTGAGCGTGTTCCTTGAAGGGAGACTACGTCTATTTAACAAAGAACATTGCAATACAGGCAAGAATGTGTTTAGGGCTCTCCCCTCACACTTACCTCAGAGGAATGCAGGGGAACAGCACAAGCCATTTGTTGCCATTTATCAGGGGATTTGTGCATTGGTGAAAAGAAATAACTTATATCTCCATCTTTAGGTGTTAATTTTCTGCAATTGTCAGTCAAAATGCCCTCTGATTCACCTATGGAAGAGGTAGAGGCCTATGGAGGTCCAGTGGTGGACGCATTCTTGAGCTAAGTCCATACAGTAGTTGAACCTGTGGTATAGTGGCTATTTTCCCAGCTCTAAAATGAGTCCTGCGATGGATGTGTCAAATAACTATCAGAATCTCCAAGTTTGTTCCTTATTATGTTTTAAAGATTTCCCATTCCACACCAAGATAGCAAAATGAAAGAAATACAACATCCTGATAGAATTGGCAGAGATTAGCACCAATTTATCATTTAAAATTACCCTGCAAAGTGAGAGACAAATTGTTACATTAATCACATTCATACAAATTACAAAACACAATTCTTGGCCTTCTTTTGATGTTATAGGCAACATATAATAGATTGGAGGAGCTGCTATAACCCTCAGGAGGCTGCGTGGTTTGAGGAGGACAAAAGAAAGCAAAAGCCCCTCCATAAGGCCATGTTGTGCAAGTTTCCTTGCAACATGGGCCTTCGGCAATGCCACAGCACATGGAGGGGAGGTATTGGCAAACCTCAATGGGAGAATCACAGTGTAGACACTAAAGATTTGGATAAAGTCCATGCCTTGCTTTTCTGACTACTCATCTCCACCAAAGGCAACTTCTGGCTGCCACTGGGCCCTAGTAAAGATTGAGGACCTGATGGTGGGAAGCAGTGTGACCAGGAACGTTGAGCTGTGCATCATAAACAAAGTGTCATCTGACCAACTGATCCACAAAGTTGGTCTTCCGTTATGTGGCAGTTAGGAAACTGGGCCCAAGCGTATCTGGAAGGCACACATAAATTGCAGAAGAAAGTTGCTCAGATTCCTATAGTAGCTATGTCTGCTGCTTTGCCACCACTTCCTCCACTCATGCCTGCATGTGGCCTTGGGAATATATCTGGGGTGAGGTATCTATCAAAGGTAATACACAGCTATTAATGCAAGTTCAGAATCCTCATATGTGACAGGGAGCAAAGAGATTTTCATCTTGATTTTCATGGTGAATTCAGACTATAAAAGCATTTCCTCATAGTCCTGGTGACACTGAAGGGTTCATGCATGAGGTAGCAGAACAACTTCTACAAGGATAACATCTGTGTGGTTCAACATTTATAGTGAAGATACAGTTTGTCTCTTCAATGTTGTCTTTTCCTATCATGGTGAAACAGAGTTTAATAAGCTTTGGATTATCCACCTATTAATTCTGGGGACAGTATCAGGACAGAGTATGGACAAACTTGCATTGTCTCCTGATGACAGGAGAGCTGATAGAACTTTCAATGTCTCCTTCATTGCAGATGTGAACTTCTCATCTGCTAAAGAGCAAAAATGGTGAATGGAGTAGTGTACCTTCCATCTGCTCCCCCAAACATACTTTCCATGCTACTTGTCCTACTCTGTCCACAGGAGCTGACCTATGTAAACAACATCAACAGTTCCTCTCCTCCTCTGGCTTTTGCTGGCTTTAGCCAATGGGAAGGACATTGAAAATTACAGAGAAGAATGGGAGTGAAATCAAGGTAATTCCCACAGCCTGCAAGTGACTCTTGTTGGCTGTAACCATCTACAGAAGATCACAGCTTCTGTTAGGGATCCCTTGCCATCCAGCTCCCTGCATTTCTGGGTTCTGCTATTTCCTTCCCTCACCTTCCAACTAGTCTGAAGGAACGTACCATACTGGTTAAATTCCCTCTGAGTTACCCAATTTGAGCACCCATGTGTTTCCAGCCAGGACTCTGACTGCTGTACTAGGGAAATACAAGAAATGAACCAGGAAGCATTGAGTGCCCATTTGATGCTTGTGATCTCTATTTTAGGTAAAACCAGTCATCTTAACTGATTAATTACCTCAGCACTACTAGACACAGGGCCAGAAAAGGCAGAGGAGTGGCAGTTTATTTAAAAGCAGTTTTTAATTTAAGAGCAGAAGTATAAAACTGAGCTAGGAGGGAACTGATGTGGGAAGTTAGAAAGGGGGAGAGGCTGATGCACTGAAAGCATCAATGGGGGGATATGTTTGGGTGGTGATATGGAGCAGGTGACAAGAAGTGTCAGGGAGAGATGTGAGATAAATAATTCAAGAGGCAGTTACCAGGGACCAAGTTCAGATGTAATGAAGCTTGAATGCCCAATAAGGAATTCTGAGAAGGTGAGGGAGGAAGGTGAAGAGGAAGAAATGAGTCAGGAGACAAAGGTATTTAAGAAGGAGAAGGAGTGACTGAGGACTGAGGGTGGCATCAATGAGGAGAAGTGGGAGGTGGAGAGATGGATGCTGTGGCATCATGGGGGAGTAGATGCTGAAGGAGCAGAGAAGAGCCAGGAGTTAGAAGCAGCAGCTGGGCTCAAGGAAGTCACCACCACCACCACCAGGCATGGAAATATGCAGGAGAAGAGAAGACAGTGACTTTTGGTGAAAGAATTTGGGGCCATCTAGGTGTCAGTAAGGCAATGTGGAAAAGGACCAAGAGCTAGAAGAGCTGTCAGGTCTCTTTCCCTGGAAAGTCAGGAGTGGAAGCTCCTCTGGAGCACTTAGGCAGGTGCCACACAGCATTTTCTGTGACAAAGATCAGATTTTAAAACAAACTGGGGCTTCATGTCACCTTTGCTGTCAAAGAATTCAAAGATGGCTTATGAATCCAAAGGGCATATTCTGAGAAACTCTCTCATGGAGGACACAGGTTGCCATTTAAAAATTGTAGATTCCAAACTGTAGAAAGGGTACATTCATTCTGAGGATGCCAGGGACAGAAATGCAACTATAAAGGTCTCCTACTTTCCAGTACTTAGTGCCCTGGGGATCTTAAGCCTTTTGAAATCAGACACTTCATACAACTACCACTTCTGAGAATCCCCAGCAAACATCTTCATCTCAAGCAATCAGATGCAGTAGACAAAAACTGAAGGAGAGATCAGTTGTCTGAGGTTTAGCCATGGTATTGCCTAAGCAGAGCATATGAGACCTCAGCTGAAGCATGCTGCCCTCTCTTGCTCTTTGTTATCACTAGCCTTGTCTCACATGTAACACTCCACACACACACACACACACACACACACACACACACAAAAGCATTCCAGCATTTAATAAACATTGACTGAACCACTGGTGTCCTGTGGAGTGTGCACAGCTGGGTGTATTAACCACAGTTTTGTTATAATCAATGGAAATATCTTGAACCACCTTCAAAACTCAAGTTTATTATTCTAGGCTGTTAAATTGTAAAATATTATTTTAAAAGCACTTATGACCATCTTACAAGTCAAATTTCTACACTTGTAATTGATGACTTAAAAACTCCAGAGAAAAACATAAATGGATAAAATATAATTTTATATTATATAAACTGGTAAAAAGCTAGGATACTAATTAATTCTAAACCTTTTGTCAAGTTACAGTTTATTTTTTTAATACATAAAATGTTTCCTTACAAACTGTTTTCCTTTTCCCAGAAAGAGTACAGAGATGCAGACTATTTTAACATGGAAAATGATTACATAAAAAAACTCTTGATGACCTCAGGAAACTGAAAGTTAAACAGTACAAGCCACTTGGGGTTGAATATTGCATTTGTGTCTTTTCTTACAGAGCATAGCAAGACTTGTTTTGAAATATACATATTTTCTTGTAGTGGAATCTTTAGTAAGTTATCTTGTATTTCCCATGATTTTCTAGCATTCACCTGAATGAGTGTGGATGCCAAAGGTTTCCACTCCAGAGCACCCCCATGATGAGCACCTTTTCTTCTCCCAAGAGTGGTCTTGGGGCAGTTTTCTACTGATGTTGGTGATGGATCAAGTTTCCCTTAGTCTTCAAACGATGTATATCTGTTAATTCCATCCCATCACGACATGAGCAACAAGGAGGTAACACATCCCAACTGTGCAGGAGACAACCATCATTGGGAAGCCCAACCTGAAACATGAAGAGAAGTGGATTGTGGTGTCTGGTGTCTGGCAAGTAATGTGAGTTCTAAATTAATTATTACATATGTCATTACATCATTATATTTGTCATGACTTAGGAGGTTTGTGTATCCACAAAGTCAATTGCTTCTTATTTCTAGAAATTGAAAAGTTGGTTTTAACCTAGATGATATGGATGCATGCTTACATTAGATATCTCCCAATGTATGACATTTTATTGAGAAATGCTTACAATTTTTACAAATTTTAATTGACATTTTATAGCCTCAATTTAATCATCTACAACATTAGAGTGTTGGTCTTGATAATGACATTTAACAACTGTCAGTGTCATATAACTGGACCATTTTTTAAGTCTGCATCATCTTCCAATTGTCCTTCTGAGAAAACTGATTTCCTAGAAATGTCATATTCCTATAGACCCCTGAAGTTCCTAACACTTAATAGTGAAGAGAGCTTTAGAGGTAGGATTAGAAAATAATCTCTTGTCTCTAGGAAGGGAAGAGGAAAGAATGGAATTTCTTCTGTATTCAGTGAAGTGCAGGAGGTATAGGTATGCACAAATACAAAAGAAGTCATGAGAAGATGAACGTTTCCCTCATTATATTCTTCCTACGATGTACTTGTGTTCCCACAAATTCCTATCCCAGCTAACAAATCACAATTGATTCCCATTTCACATTTGGAATTCATGCTTTGAAGCCATTACTTCGTGCTGCATTGCCATTGAGGGAAGTCACTGCAAAGACTAAAATTTTTGTCCCAAAAGGCTTAAAAATTCACTGGGAAGAGCCTAGTGTGTTATAATGATAATGATTATAACATTCTTCCTTCCCCTGGCTGTGGGCATGGGGAGTGGCTACTCAGAAAGAGTCACAGTAAGGCTCTTTGTATGAAGCTGTAATTTAAACACAGAAACTACAACCACAAGTGAAATAGCTCCTTAAATTCTAGACCAGAATTAGACATTTCAGTAAGGTGGTAGGTTCTATTCTAGGCACATTTCTTTTACAAAATGGAAAACTGAAACAACAGATTTCAGTAAAATAATCTAAATTTGAGATTAGTAAACTTTGTTTTTTTTTTTTTTAATAGCTGAATATGTTAGCAATAGGTCAGTCCAGTAATTGAATTCTGGAAAAATGCACCCAGGAATAGTGTCTCTTCAACTCCAGGTGTCACAGACATTATCACAAGCGTTCACACAAATGCAAAACCTTTCCTTACACTGTGACAGATTGTATGGAATTGAGTCAGTGTCAAGTAAGATGCTGAATACTTCAACCTGGGTGATAGGACACCTGACTGTGTTTCAGAAGCAAGTATGCTTTCACAAAGGATGGAGTCCACAAAAAGAAGACCTTACTCTTGGGGAGTCCAAGCCCAAAGGAATTTCCTTGTAGATGGTTCTGCTGTGCTCCCAACATCGTAGATGGTTACTGGTGTCTCAGAGATGGCAACAATCCTGAGAAGGAGTATCATCTAGGGACTGATGCAAGCATTCAGACACCATCAAAAAAAATTGTTCATGTAGTGTCTAGACACTGTGGAAATCCTCATAAAGTTGACCTCATCAACTGCTCATATCACCTTTTGAGATTGATATCATCACATCCACTGTGCCGATGGAATTCGGAAAAGGAAGCAGACTTATCCAGGTTACTTGGCTAATCTCCTTTGGTGTGGACAGACATTCAAACCCCCTCAGTCTAACTCTAGAGTGCATGCTTTCAATCACTATACATTCTGCTTCCCTGTGGGTACAGGTAAACCATACAATGACAACATACAACTCAGAAATAAGTGACTTATTCACATCTACTATATGCTAAGAGCCTGATATTGAGAATGCAGATGTTGAAATTTCCCAAACACAATAAGGCAGGTCATACATATTATCCCTATTTCATAGAAGAAACTGAAGCTTAAATATATTAAGGAATTTGACAAAGTATGCCACCACTAAGATGTTTTGGCATATTTTTCTGGCTTCAAAATCCACATGCATTCCCACCACAACACATTAGTTAAGGGTTCTGTTCTTATCCAGCTGCATGATCCTGGGGAAGTATTAAACATCTCCATGACTGAATTTCTTCATCTTTAAAATGGAAGTAATAATAATACCTACTTACTAAGGTTGTTATGAGGATTATGCGTTCACCCCTATAAATCCCTTAGACAAGCATCTGGTCACATAATGAGCCACAGAGCAAAGACTGACAAGAGACCCCTTAGTGTTCATTTAACATGACAGTGAATCTCAGACAAGATGTCCAGGACTACAAGGGAGACCTTTTAATATTCACTGAGCCTCGGGAGAATGGATCAACCTAAGCCTATCCTAATACCACCTACAGTCTCCTAACACCACAACATACAAACTCCAGCCTAACCAGTGGGAAGAGAGAGACAGAAACAAAAGCAGAAACAGACAGAGATAGAGACAGAAAGAGAGGGGTAAAAAGGGAAAGGTGGAAGGGAGGGAGGTAAAGAGAGGAGGCAGGGAGGGAGAGAAAAAAAAGAGAAGGGAATTATATCAGATATCAGTTCTAATATTTTAGATTCAAGCTTCATCATCTGCTAGTTGGATTATAACATGCCAACAAAAAATAATACAAAGATATTTGCATGTACCATAAGATCCTTGAACCCATCAATGTGTATACAGTAAGGATTCTATGAATGAAAAATGTGCTTTTACAGTCCAAAGAGAATTGACCTAGGTAAATCAGTATTTTTTATAGATCAAGAAACAAGAAACTACAGCCCCCAGGCCAATACTGGCCCACTGACTGTTCTTGTAAATAAAGTTTTATTGTAACACATTCTCTCCCATTCATTTACTTATCATAAAATGGATGTTCTACCATCTAGGGTAGCTGAGGCTGCCACATCAAAGTACTGTTGAGTAGTTGCAACAGAGACCATGTGGCCCATGAAGCCTGAAAGATTTATATCTGACCCTTACAAAAAAAAAATGTTTGACACTCCTTATCATAGAAAAAGACATTAAGTCCTGGGAAGGCGAAGAAACTTGTCATCTTCTTGTCAGCTCACTCAAAATGCAAGGTAATCCCAGACCACAAGCCAATAGAAATATACTGTGAGCCACTATGTAATTTCAAATTTCTAGTACCACTTATTTTTAAAAAAGTAAAAAAAAAAAGTGAAATTAAATTTAATAATATATTATTGAAGCCAACATACCCAAAATATTATTTTAACATATAATCAACATAAAATTGAATAGTTTACATTAATTTTTATACTAAAACTTTGAAATCCAGTGTGGGTTTTCCATTCACAGAACACCTTAATTTGACTTGCCACATTTCAAGGCTTAATTGTGCCAAACTGACTAGGGGTTGTGTGGTCCAATGCAGCTCTAGGTGGCTCACAATATCTGGATGAAAACATTTGAAAAGGCAGGTTTATGACCTTTAGTAGATGCAGGGGATTCTGGCTCTACATGGAGCTTTCACAGAGGATATGCAAGAGTGAAGCATTTGCAGGAAAAAAAGAGGTTGAGACAGACTGGCAGGGGCTCTGCAACCATCTGTGTACATCTCCACCAGGCTAGCAAGCTCATCAGGGTGGCGTTTTCTTGTACATTTTGGAAGTCACACATACAGACAAAGAATTCTCTAATGCTAGAGTCAAGACAAATGATGAAGCTATTCATTGGCATTTGATGGCACTGACAGCAGTAGCTACACACCTGAGTATCTGATGGGTAAAGACAAGGATGGGGCAGCTCTGTTGAAACGCTAAAGTTGGCATCTTCCTTCTTGGGGTGAGTCCCTGCTGCTTTTTCCGGTGGGAGTACCGTTAGTTTGGTTGGTGTTTTAATGCTTCACTCCCTGTCCAGGCAAGAGTCCACTGAAAGGAGATTTATTTGAAGTGAGGGCACTAATGACTTCCTGTCACTGTCAGCCATTCTCTGAGTATACACATTTATGCTCCACATTTACCAAGAGCAGTTCCACTTCCCAGAAGATACATCTGTCTTACTCCCCAAGCCTCTCAGAAAAGCAGTACCTTCACCAAAAGGCTTAGGAAAAGCATATTTGTTCAAAACATAGCATCACATTATGTTTTCATTTCCCTCTGAGATTATTTTCAATCCATTCTGGCTCCAAACATCACATTCTGTTACAGAAGACAAAAACACTTGAATGTCAAAGCACAAATCCAGGGGTTTTGGGAGAAGATGGCCGCGTAGGAGGACGCTGGGCTCACCGCGCGTCTTGCTGATCACTTAGATTCCACCTACACCTGCCTAAATAGCCCAGAAAACCACCAGAAGACTAGCAGAATGGAGTCTCCAGAGCCAAGCGCAGACGACAGGCCCACGGAAGAGGGTAAGAAGGGCGGAGAGGCTGTGCGCGCTACACGGACTGGCGGGAGGGAGCCAGGGTGGAGGGGCAGTCTGCCGGCCAAGCAGAGCCCCCGAGTCTGGCTTGCAAAAGTGGAGGGGCCAGATGGAGTGTGTTCCAACAGCAAGCATAACTTAGCATCTGGGAGGTCATAAGTTAATAGCTCTGCTCAGAAAGCGGGAAGGCTGGAGGACAAACAGAGGGAGAGTTGCTGAGCCCCAAGACGACAGAGCTCAGTTAGGCGGGGAACAAAGATGCTAGCCAGTCCCATCTCCCTCACCCATCCCCCAGCCAAAATCCCAAAGGGAACCAGTTCCCGCCAGGGAACTTGCTTGCTCCTCACAAACACCCAACGCTGTGCTTCTGCGGAACCACCCCTCCGGGAGTGGGTCTGACTCACTTCCACTGCCACAGGGCCCCTCCTGAAGTGTATCACCTAAGGAGAAGTGAGCTAAGCCTGCCCCTCCTGCCCCTGTGCACCTTGCCTACCCACCCCAGCTAATATGCCAGATCCCCAGCACCACAAGCCTGGCAGTGTGCAAGTAGCCACTGCACTTGCACAGACAGGCCATGCCACCCCACAGTGAAGAGAAGGCACACACCAATCTGA